AAGGTTAATTTAATTTTAGAAAACATATAACTTTCAATATTTAAATATATTTATCCTTTCCTAATTCACATTCTAAGTTATTTACAGAATATTTCCGTTAACCTAATTCACATTTACTACTTCTTCCTTTTGATTGCTTATTTTATCATTTCTTGGGGATATTGTGTATTCCAAAGGATACAAAATTAAACTTTGATTCCGACAACTTAATTTTTCTTTTCGAATGTTTTCGTGCAAATCGTTTTATATGAAAGAAATCATAAATAATCCGGAAAATAAAAACTCCAAGGGATGAACTTTTATGAAAGTTACGAAAATTAGTGAGAAGAAATATTTTATACTGCAAAGTTGCTAAGTGCTGATTAGTTTATTTATAGTTTGTCCAAATAAGCTTTCCCAATGGATTTCCTCGTAAAATTTCTCTTTTTATTATGTATAATTCCGTTTGCAAATAAACTGCCACTTTTATTAATGACCATATGCTTTCCTTTCCAAATATATGTGTACGTTCTATACGCGTACGAACCAAATGGATCAAATTTTTTTTTGTGGAATGAGAGTTGAACACTTTTGTGTTTTTATTGTGCCTTAAACTTAAAACAATATTTATTTAAGCTTTAAGTAGAATTTACCTGATATCTGTCGAATGCAATGGCCGTAATGGAAATTGTCGAAACAAATATGCTTAAAGCCTGCAACATGGCAATCATCTTACACAAGACAGCATACGAACCAAATGGCCAAAATTTTGATAGGATTTCCATCAAAGTTAATGGCATTGTTACCAAACACAAAAGCAAATCTAAAATGACAGATAAGAAAGATCTTACTAAATAACTGATAGGAGAAAAAATAATAATAAAAAAAATTTAGAACAAAAAACAATTCGATTCTAAGTAAAAAATTTGTACAAAAAATGTACTGTGTAAGTGAAAAATAGAAGTATTTTTGTGTAGATATAAACTAACTTTTGTAGCATGAAAACTCACTTAAAGAAATTTATTGATAAAAAGTTTTGTTTTCTTTGGCGTAAAAAAAGGCAAAAAGTTTCACTGCGGAACAAACATAACTTACCGGAAATTGCTAAATTTAGTATAAATAAATTACGAGCTGTGCGCATAATGGGCTTCCGTACCACTGCCACAACAACTAAAACATTACCCACGGCACCGAATACGATGAGAACACTGTACATAGCAATTAGTATATGATACCAGGGTTCATCTATGCTGCGATTTTTTGTGAAACGTTCTAGTAACACTGGATCTAAGTGTGGTGTGTCATTTGATGTAGCACCACTCATATTTGTACTGCCATCCAAGTAATCAATTTCCAATTCCTTTGACTGGTCTGCACTGTTGCTGACATAAGGTGTCAGCAGTTCCACTGAACTTGAAGTGAGACTAAACGGTGTTATGGAATGATTCATTTTTTTCAACTGCAAATAACAAAAAACATTAAATCATTATTATTAAATTTATCTATAATTAAAGTACATACTATCAAAAATAATATTAAAGTTTAAAATAACCACGTTTCAAAAACTTTAAGAATTGTGATAATATTAATTTTTACATTTTTGCACAAAACAAAGTATTAAAAAAATATATATGTTTGACAAGGAAACGTTGTCAATCTCATCAATTATATATATTCTAGAATCTAGATGAGCTCAACGAGTTAAGTTTACTTAGGTTTGTCCTTATGTCTGCCTCACTAGTCCCCCCAGTTTTTGAGCTATTCTAACGAAACTTTACACAAATTTTTTGGAATGAAATCGGACTATTACATTCTACAGTTCAATCATTTTAAATAAAGATTTTTAATTAAAACTTGGTTCAACATTTATTCAATTTTATTTAAGGAAATGCACCAAATTTTATTTATATCTGTTCAGATTTAGATATTGCTATCAAGTAACTGCCGATTCTGACAAATATTTTTGTTAGAAAACATTTCTATATTTTTAAGTATGTGCCTGAAATTTGGAAATTATAAATATTATGAATAACTAGTGTAATAAAAATGAGGTTAGGTCAATTAGGAGTTAGATATAGCTTACATATACATATATAAACCAGCGTTTAAAAAACATATTTTTCTTAGAAATTCATATTTCAATGTGTATATTCTAATTTATAACATTTTAGATTTCTAAATCTTGATTCAATCTAGTTTAATTCAAACTGTCAAATTTCCTTGCCCAGTCAAACATTTCTAGAATAACCTAACATTATGTTAGGTGTGCAGACATTCACATTATTCATAAATACATATATTGAAATTACACTTTATTTGTCAAGTCCTATAAAACAGCTGTTAATTTCATGGTTATCTTGCTACTCTGGCAAAATATCTAGATTCTTATAAATTAACCTCGAGTGTTATACATTTAACTCGAGACTAACCAATCAAAAATAAATATTGAACTGATAATGAATCTCAATTAAATGTTACGCCCGGACCCCTTTTCTTACCGATCTGACTGAGCTGTCAGCCTGCAATATTAGGGACTTAGCCACATTCATAGAATTGCCAGTTTGGTTTATGTTTACCTAATACGAGAGTCGTTGCCTTTTTTGGCGTTGATCATACATTGACTTTGTTGTCTATGTACAAATAAACGCTATTTTCTGTAGTAGCACAACGATCCATAATTTGAGCTCAAGTGGTATACAAGATCTTCACTCCAATCTAACCCCAAATTTACCAATTAAAAACGACATTAAAAAAAAGTTGTCAACTATAGAAAATATTATTTGTGGTATACTTTAGTAAATTCATATTTGGACATTAATCTCTTAAAAGCAGGCACTTCAAATTCAACTTATTCCATTTCATGTGTACTGCCAACTTTAATGGCTAACGAAATAAAATGGCGAACAGAAGTTTTAAAACCGCATTTATTAGTATTATTATATATTATACTATATGAATGTTATATTTTTATATATATATACAATATATTATTATATAAACGACACCTTAATGATTCATTACTCTATAAAAAGGATATCTAAGCTTCAGCAAAGTCAAAGCTAATATCTTTACTTGTCCATATTGTAAATGGTTTGATGCGTTAATACTTAACTGTAACACCCAGTAATAATAATAATAATAATAATAATAAGAACGGGTTGTGATGGAAATATGCATAGTATTAATACTAGGAATACTAATAACAATAATTTTTTATATTTAATATTAACACCTTTTTCTGCTCATATACTATAATATAATTTATACAAACATTATCCTTGTATATGCAAAATAGTACAGCTCGATGTTGCTTAAGGACTTATTTGCATTTTAATATTCAGTAATATTTTGTTCAGTCTCATTCTAATGAACTGACAAGATAAAATTGCGAAATGAATTCCTCTTCATAATATTTCGCTCTTATTTGCATTGGAATGAGTGTACGTCCTGCCATGCTGAATCCAACACTAATTCCGACTGACTAAGTACGGAATGTTGAAATGGATTTGGCATGGCATTTGCTTGCTTGTTTGCGAATACATGACAAGTTGGATATTTCGGCGTCGTTTGGTGCAAGTTTGCTAAATTCTGTTTGCAGATATTTTATTGTCCGCATGTTCATTTTAATGATAACAATTGTGTTGAAATATTAAATGCTTACTTTAATTATAATTTTATCTCGGTACATAACCACAACAGCTTATACTCGTATAGCAGCGCATAAAAATTTAATTTAGTAGTTTTTATTGAAGACATAAATCGAGTTGCTATAAATCGAGTTGCTATTATATTTTGTTTACTGTGCGATGACAGCAGAAACATATAACTTCTATAACTTTTAATAAATCTAAGAAAAATCGATAATATAGTCAAATAAAATTTTTATTAGAATTATGAAGCCTTTTATGGCAATGAATGCATTAAGCGCTATAAATAAATGTGAACAAACTAGTCTTTGTTGCTTATAGAGTCTGATATGGGAATTTGATAGGTGAAGATAAACTGTTTTTGCTAAGGTTAATGATTATATTACAAAAATTGTTTAATAATTTAAGACTTATGTATAGTATGTTGTTATTTAGATGTTATTTGTTATGAAAAAACAGCACATTTTGTTTGGAATACAAAATATATTTACTTGACAAGAAAGTAAATATAGAAAGTTAATTCTTCTAGTCAAGCATACACTTAACATGCTTTAATATATGTAAATCAATGTTATAACCTCAAGGAAACAATTATTCACTAGAATGATACAATCATTAAATTCCGAATGAACACATAACATTCCTGCCAAACAGAAAGGGCGCCAAAATGATTTCCTAATAGTGTCGACGTAAGCTCTATTGATAATAAACGTAACCGACAACAGGATGGTAAAGCAACCCTCATACGTTCAATTTACCTATCTCCATTCTCACTGTGGAAAACCTCAATATTACTTACTTAAATTATTTCTGAGAATTGGCTTAAGCTTCTAGGATAACCCCTTCGGACGCCCTAAACGTGATGTTGCTACCTATCAATCTTAACATCGAAAATATCGTTCGCAACAGCGCTATTGGACTGAAAGCAACTGTAGTCTGTTTGGAACAAGCATATTGACATAGCCAGATTCTAGATACAGTTTTAAACTGTCTGTATAAGATGACATCGGATTATCTGTATCCGTGTCTAGACTTTAAGTATTCAAACAATATTTTTTTCAAGAAATAAATAGAAAAGAAATACTTTCAAGGCAAATTACAATATCTCAATCTACACGGATGGCTCGAAAACGAACTGCAGGGTAGGATCAAAGGGATCTTTGCGCCATCTGAAAACATGAACAAATTTCTTAGTTTATGTAATAAGACCGCGTTTTTACAGGTTGAAATCTAAGCAATTAGAGAAGGTTGTCGGTAAATTGCAAGTCACATCAAGGACAGATGTAGTGTATCCATCTTTATTAACAGGCAGGCAATAATCAAAGCCCTTAAATGCTTCACAACAAAATCAAAAATAGTAAAAGAATGTAGAAAAGCAATTGACAAACTGAATCGGCTAGCTGACATCACCCTCAACTGGGTTTCTGGACTTAGGAACATCGATAGGAACGAGAAAACTGACAAGATAACCCGCTCTGGTGCTCCCATGGATGTGTTTCTGACGGTACTGGCTTATATTATAATTCAATTACCTAAATTCGACGGAATGGATTTAGTCTTTACTCTTCTATACTAGGAATTTTTGTGAGAAAAGTGGTATCAAAACGGTGAAAAATCGTATTAAGGTACATGGGAGTTATCTAATGGACTGCCACTGCAACCAACCAATCAAGTACTTACTAAAGTAATTGAAAATTAGCTTATTCATAAAGAATTTTTTATTTAGACATCTGATTTCTTAGTTGACAACAATAAATCTCGTTTTAAAATTTTAATTAGTACATTTTGATTTAAGAAATAATATGTTTGAATTGAGTTAATAATTTCTGTTGAGACGTTTTAGGCGAGTAGTGATGGGATATATGTAGCACTCCATTCTGCAGAAGGAGACACTTTCTTAGATCCCAACAAAACATTATTGTGATACTACAGTATGCATATGAGGGCACAGTAACATTTTCAAGACAACACAATTTTAATTCGGAATACCGCTCTATAGCATTAATGAATCGAGAAATGTCCTTAGTGTCTATATTAGTGAAATCAGATAGATATTTTAACAATTGAGAAGTTTTAAATTCTACAGAAAATAAAAATAACAAATACATATATATATATAAAAATAGTTTATCGCGGTTTTATTAAAGTGAAAAATTATTAAATATATTGTATATATGGACACATTTTTGGTGGAACTAATACGAAAGATATAACCTGTTAAAATCATATAATATTTAAGCGCTGTTTACAGTTTTAATAACAATTGTCACTGCATTTCCATTTCATATGAATCCGTTTGTAATAAGTACTTTCTAAATTTGATTTAATTAAAACTGTTTCTCTTTATTACGGGTATTCCAAACGAATAAATTTATAAACTCATTTCAAAGCTCAAAAAATAAATATGAAATGAAAATGTTTTTGGTAAATTCATTTGTATTTTTCCATGGACTGAACTTCCAAAGCCGAAACCGAATGCAATTTTGATTTTTGGAAACAAAATTATTAACATCCACGTGAATGCAAAGGAAAGTTGTCCTGTGGTTATTTATTCTCTACGTTATTAGCACAAAACCGCATATTGATTTTTCGTATAATGAATGTTGCTGTACTTTTAGTTATGATTGGTAGATAATAAATTTCTGAAGAGATGGAAACATATCAAATATTGAAAACAAAATGTGGAATGAACAACGTTTACAAAAATAAATAACATTCCAGTTCTGGGATTTTCGAAACATTTTTTTTAATAACTTTGCTTTAGCGTTCACTCCATCTAAATTTTAATAAACAAACTTTTGTG